GGATATAGCTCGCTAGCAGCCTCGCACCGAGGACCTATCCACGTCATCATTTACCCAGAATGCTTTGTGTGGAAATAAAATGGCCCCGTCCGTGTAATTTATTTTTAAACTTTTAGTTTAAAAATGATAAAAACTAAACAGCCTACAGTATTTTTTCAGTCTTTATTTTACAGTTAAATAAATGTTTATTAAATAAAGTCTAATGTTAAACTAATCCTGGATGGTTTAAAGAGAACCTGATTGAAGTGATGATTCCTCCCGTCTGTTTCAGCTGTGGAGGCAGAAACAAACCCTTCCAACCTGAGCAGCAGCAGGTTATTTGCATTAAAGCGTGTCGGCGGATGACTAATATGTAAATGATGGAGCACTTTGATGTGGAGCTCGGTGCTCCTCACATCTGAGGACATGAGGAATGCTTTAAGCCCATTACCCACTCGTCCAGTCCCATCCCAGCTACCGCAGCCTGGGGGAGGACATAAAAGCAACCCCCGCCGTCCCTCAAAGCTCTTACGCCTTTAATTTGTTTAGACAAACATGTTGGACCGAGCGCTGGTCGGGCCTGGGGTCCCTGAGCTGGGTCCTGCCCCGGACTCAGTGGAATGCTGGGAAACTAAACTAAAAAAGGAATTTCAGATTTGAAATCGGGGGCTGTTTTCAGCCGCCACACCGGTCCGTCTGCTGCTTCCTCTGGGACTCCTCGGTTTAATTTCCAAACTGCAGCACCTCCACCCTGATGGCACGCCTGATACGAAGGGGTCAGATTAGAGGCTTCGGCTGCTCGCTCCGTCGGGCCTGCTGGAGCTCAGACGGCTCTGACGGCGTGGTCGAACAGGACCACGTGGACGTAGAGGTCCGACTGCAGGAGGGTCCTGCTGGAGGCCTCACCGGGACCGGACTGGAACCACACAGAGAGGAAGAGGAGCTGCTCATTTACTCATTCTGTGAAAATAACAAGTGAGCAACAACAGAAGCTACATAAAGCTAAAGGCTAGCGCAGGGATGCTAAAACATGGAAGGGTCAGTTTTTTGTCGACACGAGGGTCACAGAGGGCTGCACGTTTACCCAAAATGTAACAAAAGTGATATTTTAAAAAGGTTTGTATTTATACAGTTAGACCCCCCCCCCCCCCACACACACACACACACACACTTTTAAAGGGACCAATGGTTATTTCATGGTCAGGTGTGGGCAGTTCCTTCATGTCATTCTCAGTCAAGCAGATAAAAGGTCTGGAGTTGATTTGAGGCCAATCTCATGGCGAACTAAAAGCTAAAAGTAGCAAAAGTTTAGCAAAATAAAACCCATCCTTTGACACAAAGTTGTTTGAGTCGTTGGTCTCATCAGGTTTAATCTGAAAATCATTCAGATAAAAACAAAATGTTAGCATCTCAGCTAACATCTCTGTAGAATAAAAAGTGTATTAAAGGAGAAATTTAGCTTCATTTGACAGAAAATGCTTACTTCCTGTTTAATTTTGACAGAAAATGTTTACTTCCTGTTTATCTTTGAGAGAAACTGTTTACTTCCTGTTTAACTTTAACAGTATCTGTTTACTTCCTGTTTAATTTTGACAGAAAATGCTTACTTCCTGTTTATCTTTGGCAGAAAATGTTTACTTCCTGATTATCTTTGACAGAAACTGTTTACTTCCTGATTATCTTTGACAGAAACTGTTTACTTCCTGTTTAATTTTGACAGAAAATGTTTACTTCCTGTTTATCTTTGACAGAAAATGTTTACTTCCTGTTTAATTTTGACAGAAAATGCTTACTTCCTGTTTATCTTTGAGAGAAACTGTTTACTTCCTGTTTAAGTTTGACAGAAACTGTTTACTTCCTGTTTAACTATGACAGAAAATGTTTACTTCCTATTTATCTTTGACAGAAAATGCTTACTTCTTGTTTATCTTTGACAGAAAATGTTTACTTCCTGTTTAACTTTGACAGAAAATGTTTACTTCCTGTTTAACTTTGACAGAAACTGTTTACTTCCTGTTTAACTTTGACAGAAACTGTTTACTTCCTGTTTATCTTTGACAGAAAATGTTTACTTCCTGTTTATCTTTGACAGAAAATGTTTACTTCCTGTTTAACTTTGAGAGAAACTGTTTACTTCCTGTTTAACTTTGACAGTATCTCTTTACTTCCTGTTTAATTTTGACAGAAACTGTTTACTTCCTGTTTATCTTTGACAGAAACTGTTTACTTCCTGTTTAACCTTGACAGAAAATGTTTACTTCCTGTTTAACCTTGACAGAAACTGTTTACTTCCTGTTTATCTTTGACAGAAACTGTTTACTTCCTGTTTAACTTTGACAGTATCTGTTTACTTCCTGTTTAACTTTGACAGTATCTGTTTACTTCCTGTTTAACTTTGACAGTATCTGTTTACTTCCTGTTTAACCTTGACAGAAAATGTTTACTTCCTGTTAAACTTTGACAGTTAACTTCCTGTGTAACTTGATTGTCATGATAACACCCCGGCCCCCTCCACCCCCAGCTAAGTCGAGGTTTTCTCCAGCTGGGAGCATTTTTATTTTAACCTAAGTGCTTCTGTGGGCGTGGATCCATCAGTTTACACTTTTACCTCAAACACAGTTGTGGTGAAAAGTCAGGCAGACTTCCTTTGTTTGGAGCAGAAAAAGTTGGATTAAAAAACGACCCAATTACAAAAAGTCTGGTAAATGACAGGTTCTGTTCATCTGGAAACCAAAAAACGACTCATAATTTCTCACGTCTGTTTCCTTTTATGAGTTTTTTTTTCAGTCAAATCCTTGTTGTAGCTGAGACAGGACAGCTCCTCCTGCTCAGTCTCAGAATGTGGCGACGTTTCAGATCTTTAACCGAGGATTGAAAACAAGATGGTTCTGGTCCGTGCCCTGCCAGCCTGGGCCTAGCCCAGCTGGGTTTCAGGGCCTGCGGGTGTTTGGATGAGTCTGGCTTCTTGTGTTTTTAATAGACGGCCTGCTCGGGCCCGGTCGGGTCGGGCCTGGTCGAGGCGGGGCTCGACCGCAGCGAGAACACTCTGCTGCCATTCTGGCCCTCGTCCTCACAGCTCTGTCTGCATTTCAAAATAGTTCAGCCCCCCCAGCTTCTTCCCTGCCCCCCAGCAGAGAGGGAAATAAAACCCATCCCTGTCAGAGGGTCTTCTTCAGCTCCTCTGTCAGACGGGGTGTTAGCAGGAAGCACCTGCCTCGACCCCCTGATCCTTCATTCTTTGTGCAGGTGGAAAACAAACCTCTGCTCCTCCCACCGGCTGCTTTGTTTCTCTGCAGCCACCTTTACCTAAAGCAGCCGAAACATTAGAAACTAGAGTTTGTATTTCCTGCCAAGGTGCAGCATGAATGCTGAAAGATTTTAGCTGAAAGCAGCCAAAGTCCAGCTGAAAAGGTTTAACAGCAAAAAAGCTCGTGAGTTGAGTTTGAACGGCTAACTTTAGCTGAATGTAGGAAAACAAAAGTGAAAAATTAAAAGAAAGAGAAAAAACAGTAATAAACAGCTAAAATTTGCAAAAAGAAAAATAGATGAAACAAGTAAAATTAACACATTAGCAATAAACAAGAAAAGAGATGCAAAATGTTGTTTTCTTCTGAAATAGCTAAAAAAAGCTGAATCAAAAGTAGCTGAAACTAACACAAAGAAACAGAAAGAGCACTTATAAACTGAAAAAAGCTGCAAGGAGCTGAAAGTATCACAAAAAAGTAAATTTAAAAGAAAAACGCTAAATTAGCTGAAATAGCTAAACACAGAAAACAGCTAAAAGGTTTAAAATTGAAACTTTTAAAGGGACAATATCATGTAAAATCAACATTTTTTAGTTTTATATCATGTTATAATGTTATACTCTCATAAAAAACATGTCCAAAGCCTTGCTCTGACTCATTCATCATGTTTGAGAAATCCTGCAGCGTTTTTATGAAGCCATGCTGAGGAGCAAAACGACAGGTGGGGACCAGAAACACCTTTGCGGACCAGAAACGCCCCTGGGACGTGTCTTTATGTCAAACTTCCTCATCACAGAGCACAACTCCCCACCCCACTCCCCACGCACCTCGCCCATGACTCCTGCAGGCTCTTGACAGC